TGTTTATAAATAAGCCCACCACTAGTCTGCTTCTAAGCAGCCCTCAAAAGGAACCGCTAAAAGCTTCGGCAGCAGGTGGCTGTTGTTGGGATTTACTGCCCTCGGTATACCAACGCTTTTTTTAAGGTATAAAAACCTAACAAACACACACATATATGTATATATACATATATTAATCTCTTCCATATACGTATACAAATGGTTTTTGATAAAATTCAATATATACATACCAGATTTTTTATATGCATATAAATATAAATCAAGTATAAGAATATCTGATTTTTATGCTTTAGACTTGTATTCCGGCGCATCCTGTTGTGAGATCTGGATTCAGCTTGATAGTCCTAATTTTCGTGTAGTATGGGAGTTTCCCAAGTTGGATATGATTTCTTGACTTGTGCACGTTCAAATAATTGAATCCGCTAAACATTCGAGCTGTGAGATTCCAGCGTAATAACGAACATAAATAAAACAGGCTTGCGAGGAGCTACTAGAAAGAAAATTTGCCTTGACATGATTATAGATGCGATCAAGAATTCTGAGTCTTTGTAGTAAATTCTGGTCGTGTTTGCCGTAATGAGAAACTTTTACTTGAAACATCAAACTATGGAAGTTTTCCCGTAACATCTCACCAATTTTTTGGATTACGCGCGTGCTTCCATCTTCCTGAAAATTGCAGCTTTTCTTGCAGTTATTTGGAATTCCGTATCAGACAGTGCTGTTATTCCGATGAGCAAACTGGATGTTTTGACGAGCCTCGCACTGTATAACGCGTACCAGCATCAGCCCTATATTATACAAATACCAACGATCTTAAGTGGTTTTTCTTCCTACGTCTTGCAACTGTTTTTAAATTTCAAAATCGTCAGAATTGAAGCGTTCTGGGAAAAATAACAAACGTAGGTGAATGCAGTTCGATCATCTTCACACCGATTCCTCCGTTCCTTCCAGCTCTGCTTAATTGTTTGCAGTGTATTCTCCCTTTTCGGCTGTTTCATGCGCAGTAAATAAGGCGCCCATTCCAGCAGTATATAACGCATCTTTAATGCTTTAAAAATTATCATTCCATCACTAATCTGCCTCTTCCAAAATACTTATTCCATGCAATGCAGAAAATGTCGCATCCAATAAAGACCAGACCTGTACCTTTAGTACACGCGGGCGTAAGGAAACATCTGGATAGGAGATAAGCGCAAAAAAAACTTTGCCAGAATCCTAAAGTTCATCAGTCGAGATGATTACCTTACCAAAAGCTTTCCAACAACTGCATAACTGGACAGTATGTTTTTAAAAAATATACCCAAAAATTCATTCGCATTTGGGTATCGGGATTTCGGAAATGTACAGCTTGAGCGTAAACGGTAAATGATGTTGCGGCCACCGAAATAACCATACAGCTTTGGAAAAAAATTCCTAAAAACATAGCAGTATCGGATAGATGACAACTGCTTCGTTTTAATCGGAAAACTCTGGCCATATCAGAAATGAACTGGACCAGAAGTCTGCTAAGGGCACTTCCCAGTTGAAAAAATTGGACTGTACTGTTTCGGCCATCTCTGGTTCCAGAGTAGGAAGAAAAATATTGCTGCTGATCTTAGTAGCAAATCAGAGGCGTGCTTCCAATGCGTTATTATTCATGTTATTCAAGTGAAAGTTCATTTTAGCTAGACAGCGGCTACACGTCTCCGGAGTCCACGATCAAATTTTCAGGCATATAGCCCAGAACGATTCAGCAGAAAGCTTGCGAAAACGTTGATCGGAAAATGGTTATTATCAAACTGCAGTTTCATAATGCCACTTTTTTCCCAGGAAAAATACACAAAATCATGGATTACCGAGCAGTGGCACGGCTTCCGATGTTAGCGGCGTCATTTCATTCATCAACGCCAGAAATATGCAGATAGCCAGCGAGACAGATATTTGCAGTCCCACTTTTTCACAAGTATCCGGACTGAGGGTAAAGCCTAGTATAATCAGGACAAGGGTCATCATGCACGGCATTATCAAATTAAATGCATAGTATCTGCAAGAAGCAAATGAAACTTTATGGTAGCATTTACTAAGAAAGTTACTTCAGAAATCTTGTAAGAGGCAACGCTGGAGGATGATTTAGAGAATTACTGTTTTCTGGGGGCAAAAAATTTATAATTCATTTGGCAGCAAAGAAATAACAAATGAATTTGATTCAAGCAACAACACGTCGAAGGTCAAAGACATACAGCGTTCTCCTTTTGAGATGGATGAAAAACCGAACATCTGGATAAGGCTCAGGACAACAATCGTAAAATTTTTCATTTCTTTCATCCCATGTTTCTGAAAGTAAAACATTTTACGCGCTTGTCATTTACAAGTTTGGCCTCGGGTTCTAGGTATAGGTAATAAAGCATTCCCCTACTAGAGACTACTTGTGGACAGCGTTTCTACGTCAAGAAAAGCAAATTCCTAAAATTGCAATTTGCATACGGATAACAAAAAACCAAAAAAATGCGTTAAAAAATGTTCAGAAAAACATCTTCCTACTTATAATAATCCACTCGCCATTTTCGATGAAATCTGACATATCAAGATCACCTGGTTGTAAATCTATTTCACGTCCACTGAATGACCAGGAACCGAACTGCAAAAATCTACTTTTTATCCAATTTAAAATATTTCAAAGATTATTGTAGAAAAATTTACAACATTTTCATTCCAAAAAAAGCAGGAAATGGACAGGGCACTTTCAAAAAGCAAATCTGTTCATCGAATGGAAACCAATAGATGTCAATTTTGCAAGAAATTTTGAATATTCCAGGAGGTATCCAGGTTATCGAACCATCGTTATAACTGATTGCATTCACTTTAAATGTGCTGTCAAATGCCGAATCGACACTGAAAAAAAGGGCTTAGAAGGCTATCCAGAGAGGTTTAGTGCTCATCAATTAGTAGCATTATCAGCCACTACGGCGAAAATGAGGTAAAAATGGCGCCATTTACCTCATTACCTGGGTTAAATAAGGCGCAGTAAAATACCTGGTCAATTAAGGCGTCATTTACTTCATTACCCTTAAGCCGTAGCTTAGTTTGATGCCATTCAAATTAATCCCATCTCTTGTTGTTTATTCAGCTTAACCTAGTGAATAGCTTGTTCTAGAATTTCTATATCGACGTGCTGCTAATTGATAAATTCCGGATTACAGTAAAATAAAGTTTAAAAGAGGAAAAAAAAGGATTTAGATAGTAAAAAATTCACTCCAAAATAAATACGTAACTTAATTTAGAGCAAAATTTTTCGCATGACAAATATTAAAACATTGTTCACAATGCACAACCGGACCTGCCGCCGAGGAGGTATTCCCGACTAGTAAGGAGAAATGCACACAGCATACATATTTTGCAAGTCACAGGAAGCCTGTTTGTTTCCGCTAGATCTAATAAGGCTCTTGCCTTCTCGGTGGCGGTGGTAAGAGGAAAGTAACTTCGCTCACCTGTTGTAAAGTAATATGTCAGGCTGCCATATCGTTCCGGCTGGATGCCTCAAATCCGTGATATTTTCATATTCCAGAGGATCCCAACGTAGCTTCATGTCACGCCAGTTATACTTCAACCAAGCATTAATTTCCAGCTTCTCCTGCCGCTCATTCTGAACCGCTAAATGTTTGTGAATGTTCGCATCAAAAACTTTTAAATAAAACCAAAAAGCAAAAAATATGACCATCATAAACGAAAGGGCTTGTTGCTGTTGCAGCAGAGAGATTTCATTATCTGCTTTTAAGCTTTGGTGGCCACATTCTGAAGCAACCGGAACTGTTTATGATTTCAGACATCACTCGAGAAACAACAAGCCTGCGACTCGTTTTCTTTGTGCTCAGGATGGACTTAATTGCCTT